TTTATGAGACGTGAAAATATTTTTATTTAAAAGGCTTATAGTTTATATCAATGCCATATACCAATATTATATCAAAGCATAATACTACTTATTAATAGCGATGAGAATGAATATTTACATCTTCATAAAATTAGAAAGAGTTTCTTAGAAATTATTTGAAATTTCTAAAATTATATTTGTAAAATATAACGTATCGAGAAACGTTATTTTTTAATAATATTGGTTAATTTTCACGGCTTGCAACGCGGAATTAAATGCTCAGAAACTGCTTAAACTTTTCAAGAAAATATACGTAGAATAAAGGTATCAAGATCAAGAAATTATATTTTTCTTTCCTAATATCGATTCTAATAATAATCATGAAATTGATGTTTGGTATACTTTCATAATACACGGAAGATTGTTGTTAGATGTTAGTTTCGATCGACTGACGAGACAATTGTTCCTAACAACTTGAAATGGAAATAAACTTAGCGGAGTGAGAGACTAGATGGAAGACAAGAGGGTTAATATGATTTCAACGGAAATAAGTTACGGCACTGGAGAAACTAGGATTGTGTTCAGTATTCTGCGACGCAACTACGACTTGTATAAATTGTTTTCCTGCGTCATTGACCCGTTTCTTTGACATTTGGCAGCAGAAGGTTCCACGAGAACCAATCAATTGCAGAAAAATGTATTGCTCCGATACTGATATTTCTTCCATAGAAATTGCTCGTGCGATTAAACTATCTAAAATCACTCGAGTAATACTGTTTACTGTTTTGCGGTAATATCTTTTTCAAGCAAATAACGAGATGCAATGTAAATTGGAAAATGAAACTCAAGAGGTCTATTCGTTGTTTCCTATTATTAACTCGTTGTTTCAGAAAAATACGCGTACCTGCCTCGAAGGTCATTACATTGCAGCTTTTCATCGCATAAAAAAATTTGTTGCTCGTTACGATGATGCAACTGTATTGAGAGATGAAACCCACAAGCTGTAACCACTGCACCAAACAGTTCTTGGCTTCAATATGGCGCAGTCTACTTATTATTAAATCCACGTTTGCTCGAAGACGTGATGCAGTTAAGTAAAGTGTTTTGCCGCATGACGCTAATTAATGGTTTATGGCACTTTATAAATGCCGTAATTTTGATACCGTTTTGTTTGTTCGCGAAACTCTAACCAAAATCCAATAATTCTGCGACTTATCACGCTGGCTCCTCTGGATAGACGCTGGGTTTTTAGATAAAACGGCGGTAAACAAATCGTGGCGAGTAAAACACTGTTATATCAAGTGTTTTCTTACATCTTGGAATTTCAGATAATTCGCCGAGGATATGAAGAATGCCACTTATCTCAAATCGAATCTTTCAAGGGACCGAGCTTCCTGTTAGAAACGATTTATGGAGTTTTAAATATTTACACGTACAGATATATAACGCGATATTTTAGAAATATCGAATCCTCTTACACACACATGAAACGAAACTTGATGCAAATACTTTTCGCATTTCCCACCATGTTTTATGAAACATGAATTTGAATATGAAATATGTATTTAAAATAATCGCCGTGTGACTTTGGTGCATCGTTACAGTGCTGATAAAATTTCAAAATATTTTACATAATACACACACACACACACACACACAGTATACATGTAAAAATTTCGCGTGGTATGTATTGAGATACTTTCGCGAGCCACTTAATGAATTTATTGGTCGACTAATTGCAACGTCGCCAGATGAATCCTCGAAAATGATCCTCGCCGATATGTCGGCGTAATTGTTTAAATCGCTGTCAACCGGAAGCAAATATCTGATTCGCTTGGTGGAATTAGGCAAATGTTAAAGCTATAAACCGTAAGGGAGTCGTCAACTATGTTCATAATCTGGAAGTTCTGACTCCATTCAGGTCGACCGCAAACGATTCCGATCTACAGCCGCGATTCTCCGAATTCCAGATACCGTAAAATATAGATCTTGTCTCTCGTCATTCGTCCCTTGTAACGTTGATAACGGCGGCCAACGTCGACGACGATCAACGTTCTGTTCTTGTCGTGAGAACGACGAAAGGCGAAATTGCAGTCATCAGGGGCAGACACTCGATATCGCTAATTCAATCGACGCGATCTTGCATCTTTTTGCATGTCACGCGTCCAAATACTTATTTCTGATTACGTTGAACAGGTACATTTCGAATGGACAACCGACATCTTTTGACACGATTAACGACTCGAACTGTATCGCGAATCTAAATTCTTCAAATAATTTTCGAAATGAAATGAAACGTGGTATTCGAGCCGAACGCTGAGGAAATCCAATTGAATCTTTTAACATGAATTTATTATTTATTATGTGAGAATAAGGAAATATAGGATACGAAAATGAGAGAAAATTGAATTAAAATTGAATTAATACAAATTGAATATTATATTTGGAGTTGTATCCGACCTGACACACGACAACTTACACTCCAGTAATTTTGTTATTTTTGATTAACGCTTTGAATATTCCCAGCCGAATAATTAATGGACCTCTTCTGCGCTTTCCCGGTGCTTGGCATACATCTCGCTTTATGTAGCTTATTTATATTTAAAATACATAGAAAGTTCGTTTATCCTAGCTACACGTTATAACGATCATTTATATTTCTAGAAAATTTTCGGGAATATCTTACTTTTTATTTTTCTGCCTTGCTTCCAGAGAAAGAGATACATTTTGTAAACGGAACTCTGATAGTTGAGCTAATATGAAATAAGTGTGACGTATTTTTAGCTCCTTAAAATGCATAGAGTTTCTGGTAAATGTGACGCGAATGTCCACCAAACAATATTTCGTAGATATGCAAATATTATTAAGCCAAATATAAATATTTATATCATTTTTCAACTTTTTACGCTTTCAGAAAGTAGCCTTCTCTTTTCCGTTATTTTGTCCATCTATTTTTAGAAAACTATAACCTAACAATTCAAGATAATAATGTAATCGTAATTTTAATTGTAATTTATTCGATGACATATTACAATATGTCTCAGTCTCTTCGTGGATATTCAAATCGCTCCGGTAAGAAAAATGCAGGATTATTCGTAAACGTGTTTGAAAAAGCTACAACTTTTATCGCAAAATTAATACAACTTTACACACGAATTCCATTGCTTCCTTACTCAGTGGAGAAAAGCAACGAGGAACTCGTATCGATGTGGCTCTTAAATAAAAAACAAACACCCCATAAAAGAAATAGACAATCGAATTAACGTTATTATTAAAATTTTACGAGTCACGTGTAAAATATATTTATATAAAATTAAAAAGTTTGATAACGAAGCAAACGTAACTTATTACGATCGTCCTATTCACGAAATGTTATAAAATCGTGAAAAAGAAATCTATAACTTACAACCAATAAATCGCTGGTTTACCAATATTTAGACTGTGAACATTTATGCAAATCCATGCTTCAACGAATGTAATTTGAACAATGGCACCTACATAGATAGAGAATCAATTTACTTGCCAAATATCACAATAAGTACTGTACTTTCATATCTTACATACTCTATTCGATTTTGCACCGTCAAATTCTCCATAAATATATCTACCTCCTATTGATATCGTTAATCGGTAAATTATTGTGCAAGAGAAACCGTACACTCGTGTGCATTGTATCATTAAGAACATAATCCTGTCGGATCACCCCGTCGCTTGTGTACAACGAGCTTAAAACGGAAGCCAACGAACGCATAAAATCAGACGATCGACTTTCATGGTCGACCGCGATCGAAATCCAGCGTGCATAATTAAACAGCTCCCATCTCGGCAATCAAATCGTCAAAATTCCCAATATCGAATGGGTTTCCGTGCAGTGGAGGCACTCTGCGACTGTAATGGCACTACCAGTTCTTCCCGCCAAACCGTGGAGTGTTACATCTCCGCGAAGGACCTTTTACCATCGTGCAAGCCGATCCTAAAGGCGACAGCGAAGGGAAGATGCGGCGTTCGTCGCATGATAATTTCCACCTTTATTCTCCTTCTTATACTGGTCGCTATTTATTGCCTGTCCGCCTCGTGCGATCGTCTACGAACATTTAGTAGATCGCTAAGAAATCAAGCTCAATCTGAACATCAACCTAACCCACAACCTCAACTTTCATCGCTACCGATCGAAATTACAGGGGAGGAACCGAATGTGGAAGAGGCGCCACCGGTTGAAGGGGATACGTAGATTTAAAGTTTGGATCGTGAGTATTTTGAAGAAAATTCGATCGTGCGAATTTTCATCGAGATCGTGTTTCTCTATCGTTAAAATATTTCCTAATCCAGCTACGTTCCATGAATTCTTTGTATCTCGATGTTGCCTTCGTTTCAGGCTGGAGAAAGTTTTTTTTTTTTTAATGCTTCAAGTATATTAGCGTACGATTGAAACAGGGAAACGGTAATCTCATGCTGACGACGATTCTTTCTTTTCTCAAATTTTTGGGAAATTTTCCAACGTTTTCTTAGACAAATACGATACCGTCGAAAGCGACCGTAAGAAATATGAAGTTTACAAGAAATGTGAAAGAACGGTGGTGTCATTTCTCGCGTAATTATAAATTACGCTCTTTGATTTGTTTCCAAAGGCTGAAAATCGCTTGGTTTATTGAGATAAAAACAAGGCACAAGAATTCGGGAGCTGCAGCAAGGTTAATTACACCTTTGGCAGAGATTGAATCTGAAAGATATGATATTACACGTCTTTTTTAATATCATCGTACGGAACGTAACTGTCAATATTGTTATATTTTCAATAAGAAGTTATAACTATGTATTTTTTTATGTATGGTACTAAAAATGCGGAAAATCTTGAAGACAATTATATTGTAAATCGATCATTCTGAATTCCTCATTCTCCTTCGATGTATTACAGCGTCCAAGAGTTAGTACGCCACCAATATTTCGAAATATGGTTAACCTATATTCACCTGTGAACGTTTTACTGCCTTCAGAAATCTATCAAGAAAGATAAACGTGATGATTAATGGGTGAAGATCGGGTTGTACGAAGAAAATCAGGTAATCGAAATTACGCTTGAAAATACATTATCGATTATCCGAATTAATTAATTACAGAAAAACCGAATAATGGAATTTTTCAAACTGAAATTACGACGTGCCTTTCATATAGAAAATGATAATTTATTGCACGTTATTAGATGTGTATATCTCGGTCATTTTTTTCTTGGCTTTCTAATCTTTCTTCTTATCTCGTTGATCGATCTTTCGATGTAGTATTATAAATTCTTCTCGAACTCAGTATCTCCGCTGGATTAGTCTTCTTTCGCTTTTCGTACTATCTAATAACTGTTCCCGTTGCTACGAATGTTTCTAAACGTTGTTCACGAAAACATTCCCTTTAATTCTTCTAACAATTTATTCGCCGCTTACATCGCTCGTCTTATCGTCTTATCTTCAAACCACTCTGTGATATAGCTTTCATATTATTGTTCGGATAATCGAGTAATTAAAAAAGAAAAAGAATGTTTCAATAATATGACGAAAATTCTAATAAAAGGTGTTCAAAAAATTCAAGTCCTACTTTGTGCTGTAGATAGACTGCGAATATTTATGTATTTATGACAAACGTGAAAGTATAGAAACACACGGAATACACATAGTAGACGACGACGTATTGAATATTAAAATATACAGGGTGGATGGTAACTGGTGGTACAAGCGGAAAGGGGGTGATTCTACGCGAAAAAAGAAGTCGAAAATATACAATAAAAATTGTTCGTTTGAGGCTTTGTTTTCGAGAAAATCGACTTCGAATTTTCGCTCGGTACGCGTGCAGTACGTTATAAGAGATCTCACTGTAGATCGTTGTCTCGATGGAAAAATTAAAAAGAAAAATAAAAAAAGAATGTTTATTCTATATTTTCGACTTTTTTTCGCATAGAATCACACCCTTTCCACTTGTACCACCAGTTACCAACCACCCTGTATATCAAGATTCGTTACGATATCAAGCGAGCAAAACAAATTTCTGCTCAGGTTCTACTTTCACAGCTGCGCTCGTAAAGGTATAAATTTGCATAAATATCCGCGGGCTAATTACAGCCTTTTTTTTCCCATTCAAATCCTTGATATTTTCACATTGTTAATTGATTTCGATTGCGATATCGTTAAAATAGATAGAATTCGGTTCGCAAACCACCGTAAACCATCGATATCGATCGCAAAAGCTCGACATAAGTCTGAAACGATGCATGAAAGGAGAAAAAAAAAAGTGGAAACGGAACGTTTGATCCTGGATAACGAATGTGGCAAGCGCGGTGCTCGGTGTATGTAAGTACATAAATCCGTGTCCGAAACAGAGCGAGGTCGAAGTACATTTTTCATCCGCAACATTATTCGGGGCGAAAGTAATGTTACATTTCACAGAACAACGCCGATACGGTTCCGTGTGTCGTAACAGCTGCGAGTAGATGGAGTGCACACAGAGGGCAGAAGAGCGAAAGAGAAGGGGAGAGGAACGAAACGAGAGGGTGGTTCCTGTGATCTACATTTTAATCTTCCAGCATCGATGAAACGAGGGAATCAAAGCATCGTTCGGTTATACGCGCTGAAAAATCAAATTCAATGACTCGAATGCATTTGAACGTTGTCAAAGCAGCTAGGGGCAATAGCCGCTATGGCAAAGACCCATGCGATAGCCATGCGCGAAATAGCCGAAATTTATAAGCATTTTTAAAAATATTATCACTGCGAAAAGAGGAAATATCAGAAATATAAATAATAATTTCGAAAATATTAAATCTTCGGTAAAATATGAAAAGCTTGGCGTGTAACTGTCGCGTGTTATCGCTGCGGCAGAATCTCCACTGTTTTCAATAAAATGCTTGCTTTTTAGGAGGGAAAAACGACAGTATGAAATTGGTGAAACATCGTGTTAATAGTCTTTTTATGTTGTTACGATTATCGTAAAAATCGGTAACAAAAGAGATAATTTACTTTTCAAATCAATGGCTGATTTATTATCTTTATAAAATACAAAAAAAAAACAAGAAAAAGAAAACAACGAAAGAAGCGACTCGATCAGAGAAACGATAAAGTCGATATGTAAATAATAAATCCATAAAGTCTTACACCGTGAATTGAATTTTAATGCGATTACGCTTATTAAATTACGATAAATTATGAGATCAAAGGCGGAAGTTAATGATTTACAAATTCAAAACAGTCGCTATCTACGAATTATCATTATTCGGACCAATGACTCAGGGGTCTTAAAGATATTGTTTTCTGCGTAATTTCTACTGATAATATATTAGAAATATCGTCATTATCTCTGAGTCTAAAATTGCAATCGCATTCCTTGCAAATTATCGGTAACAAGCTGTACGATCTTAAATTCATCGATATATCAGAGTGAAAAGGACAATTAGTTTTATTAGCCGCAATTGTGACTAAAATATCCGTTTGTTACAAAACGTCTTTTATCAAAAAAGAAGATCTATTAAAAGGAAGAAAAAAAATATGGCGCGCTAAAGATAGAAAGACATTAAACCTCCAGCCACAAGCGATTTCTTTTACTAAACTCGATCTATTCGTTCGTATAACAGTCTTCGGTCATATAGGAAACGTTATATCCAATAAATAGCAGTCGTGGCAGAAAGTATCAATCAATTTCAGATAATTGGTATTTTATCGGGCCTTCGTTTGTTATCTCGAGTCATTTTTAAACGTACTTATTTACCTGCTATAATTCCGTTAATTCTATTTAATATCGTTACAAAACTGATCACGTATCTAAATTGCTTCCTCTTCTAGCACATTTTAAACGATCAATACAGATAATTTCAAGAAATTTTCGAATCGGAAGAAATCATAAACGAACAGCACCACGAAGAAAACATCTAAAGGTTTGTTCTTATATAAAATCACGTGGAAATTTTCCTACAAGCATATTTAGTTGCCACCATAAAACCAGTAACCTAGATGATGTAAGACTTTTACGCAATATTGCATACGGCCTAGTTAGAACGCTTGATAGCATATTTATGTACACAACAAAATAGGCTAAAATGACGTGTTCCGATGTTTTAATGATTAATCAGCGAAAGGCACACGTTTCGATGGGAAACGTTGGTTTCCAATGCTCGAATAACGTAATAAAAAAGGCAGCTGCACTTTTCAGTAACCTGATTGAACCAACAAAGAGCAAGCAAAAATCAAGTAGTTTTCCAAACGTGCTATATTTTCATGCTCTACCGATGTTCGTAATAATAAACTTTTGCACTTTTAAATACGAAACCTACCTCCTTATAGTTGTTAAAACACTTTGATTTCTATAAATATCAACACAAATATCAGCCTAATAATACCAAGTGAAGCGTGATTTTGAGAAAACCTGTGGCTGGTAGATTAACAAAACTATTTCTGCGTTTCATCGAAATTGTCCAACTGTTCTAGCAATAACAAAACTCGAGTAAGTTCGTCGTCGGTAATGTGGTCTAAAATTGACAGTACGACGCAAGCAAAGAGGAACTTGTCGACCACATCTTCTCTCAAACGTTCACTGTCTACCTCTGGATATTCAGATCTGACGGTGTCGATGTACAGCGTCAAAATTTTCTGCACCTCCGACGGCCCATTTTCATGTGTCACGTTATACAGTAGAATGGGCCCGAGATCGACAGCCGGCGAACAATATCTCATTGTTTGCCAGTCGATCATCTTCGCGTCGATCGGTTTCCCGTTCTGGTATTTGAACAGTAGATTATCGTGTGAAAAATGGCCGTGGCATATTGTAGAGACGTCGTTCACCCCCGTCGCGATGGCTTTCACTATTTCCATTGGTCTCTTGTTTAATCTATGTTTTATCCTCTCTACGAACCCAGAGTTCGGCATCGTCTCGAGAATATCCAGCATTCTGAAATCAGCGTACACGTAGCGTATAATATTTTGATATACTGATATATATATATACATTATCATTAATTATACATATTATTAATAAATATTATTGATATAATAATCAAACCGACTGAAAACAATAATCGAACTTTCACGATGTTTTCTGCGAAGAATGAACTTTGTTAAGATTCATCTTGTTGCTGTTCGACTTTTTCTCATGTTAGAGGAAAATTTCGAGAAATATGGTTGCGCGTGATTAGGCGTGAAAACCATTATCGGCGAATCTATTATAATAATATGTTTCAACATAGAACGGCGAGGACGTAGCTGCGCTCAGATTTTCTAACAAACTGGCAATTAATTGATTCGCGTCAATCTCTTGATACTGGAAACTCGATCAATTTTGCATTCTGTCCGCTTCAATTGCGTACCGATTATTGCGCCTATACCGAAGTTGCTATTTTATTGCCAGTAACATCGATAACGTCAATATTACCGGTCAGATACCTACTCTGTATCTCTCAACGACGAAACTATCGCACGTTCGATACGATACAATTCTTCCATCGGTTAGATTTATCAACCCTTTTATCAGTATCACGAACGAAAATTCATCCAAGGGAAATTTAAGTTGAAAGCTATATTCCAAGATTCGGTGTTATTATAACGTATCCATCCGGTCATTGATTACATTTTCTTATACTTGACGTCTTCCTATTAACAAATGTGTACTGGCATTTTGAAAAAAATTAGTTTCCACATTATTTTCAAACTACTATTTAAAGAAATAATTATTATACCTACAGTACCGTTATTATAGTACGCTTAAATGGCTTCATCAAGAGTATCAATTAAGAGTTTGTTAAATCCCGCCACAGAATTCATACGCGATCCATAGGTCGTAGCACTAATTTTATTCGATTATAGTACATTCGGCAAAAGAAAAAGGAATGCTACTTGTTCAATCCATAATTACAATTGTTAAGTACAATTACCAATGCTTAGCCAGAATTAAGAAAATTCTGTGTTACATATTCCCCCTTTTTTTACTGTTTCTCCTCGTCCTACTGTTTACGTTTTCTAACTACCTTACGTCATAAAAAAAAAAAAAAAAAGCGGTAGATCGTATGATTTTGAGAAACACGTACTCGTTACTTTCACAAAGTTACGTAGATCCTAATCTTCGACTTGAGTAATCGACACAACGCGAAATCGCAATCAATGCGTTTTGAAAATCGAGCCTTTTCCTAGCATTCATATACAGACCATTGTTATCTTCGTTATCATATCGTAAGTACATTTCTATCGGCACATGTATCCGAAATTCTGTCAAACGAAACCTTTGTCTCACGATCTTTACACGGTTCGTCATAATTTATTATCTTGCGGATTTTTTCATAATTTTATATTTTTCGAAACACGACTCAAGATATAGAACGTAGATACTTTATCTTGAATATTTTATCATTTATCATTTTATTATTTATTATATCAATTATTCTTGTCCGTCGTGTCCCACATATCTTTTCATCTTAAAACCTGCCATTAATTGATAAAATCCGCCGTCTAATAATCATCGTCGCATCTTATTAGCAAGAAAGGATGAAGAAATTACCTAGTCGATCTCTTCTCGTAATGCAACATAGTCTCTTCCGTGAGAGAAATTTCAAGCAATTTCGCCTCGAATTCCCTGAAGACCTGCGGTTCTGTCGCTTTCAATCTCAACCCTCTGGCGTGAAACTTGGCCAGAACTTGCACGCACAATTTCAAGTGTTCCTCGTCCAATTCACCGTCCACCTGCGTGTAACCAGCTTCCTCCAAATCCTCGAGAACGATCACCGGTCTTCCGTAACGACCTAAATCCGACAGGTAACACTTTGGAACCAAATCGGTTCCATACTTGAGCGTCATCTTCGAGTAGAACATTTCTTCGTTTTGGTAAGCATCGAACGCTGTCGGACTCTTGTGCTCTGCCTCTTCCTCGGGAAGCAGTTTCAGTAACAGCGGGAAGCTGCGTGGCTCGCCGGAGAACCTGACCACGATCGTCACGCGATAAATCTCGCTGCTTCGACTCAGCTCGTCGAGACGAATCGTTGCCGAGTCGAACTCGACGAATTCCCTGGAATTCGGCTCGCAGAAGCAACGATCTTGCACCATTTCCGGCAGCAATTCCTTTTCGATGAAGGCGAAGCTTCGCTCCCAAACCTCGTGGGACTTCATGCTCCGAACAATATCGTCACCAGTTTTTACACCGATTATTAACAAGCTGAGCAATTAAAGTTCAAACTGACCGCCTACGTTCTTAATCCACGATATAATGGCCGCCGTCTTTCCTCTATACTTATCGAACAACTTACATGTACGATAACTTTCCTCGTACGTCGCCAATAACGTAGGAATCTTGTAGAATCGAAGCACGTGTAGCGAATAATTGTGGGAATATCGTGGCGGATCCGCTATATATTTCGATTTCGATGACTCAGTTTCCACAATTCTGATTCTGATATAATAACTGAAAACAACACTTCTGGATAGGTTCGACGAGATTGTTATTCTAAGAACGATTGTCACGCGAACAACAACGATAACTACGATCGACGATGAACAGTCCAAGATTCCCGGCTATCTCACAGCCTATGGATACGAAATGCGTGACAAATAAGAGACAGATAAGGCGTTGTTGATATCGGCATTCAACATTCGGTAAGATCGATGCACGCGTGGCAACGAGTCGGCCGCAAGTAGCCAGCCGGTGGAACTCTGAAAGTATCGTAGGAAATTGTTACGCGTGCCGATTCCCCTCGCAACGCGCAACCAAGATAATGAAACTCTTATCTTCCAATGACGTCACGTACTCCATGATACTCGGCAACGAACGGAGATCGATTTAGCTACTTCGCGCGCATTTTCAATAGCTCGAACGTATCGCGTTCAGCAATTCGTTTGTCGCGAGAATGAACGTAAAGTAATTCTAGCGTATTATCTCTCTTTTGTATCTACTGTTAAAAAACAAGACTGTCTTACACGTTGTGTAATTGCTGGTAAATTATAAAACGAAGCATCTAAAAAGATGTTTAAGCTTGGCAGTTTTTTTCGCCTGGTTTCAAGGAGGATATAAACGCGACGTTAATAGATAGCAAATAATTAATATTCTTCCTGCCAAGTAAACATGTAGAGAAGATACGAAGGTCAATTTCGCTGTTTCGAACGAGGTGATAATACGTTTTTCTCTTTTTTCTTTCATTTGCATACTAATCTCGCGTCTCGAGGACGGGCATCATAGTTTATATCGCGAGTTTTAAACAATTCTCCAGTAGAAATAATTTATGTACTTGTTGACTTTATGTATACGAAAAATGTGATCTCAGAATTGCCGCGGTAAATGGCAAGAAATGTTAATCCGTAACGTGAAACGTTAATTTGGGAAAATACAGGGTGGTTGGTAACTGGTGGTACAAGAGGAAAGGAGGTGATTTTTTTAATTTTTCTTTTTAATTTTTTTAAAAATCTACAGCGAGATCCGTTATAACGAGACGCGATAAAGCGCACGCGTACCGAGCGAAAATTCAAAGTCGATTTTCTCGAAAACAAAGCCTCGAACGAACAATTTTTATTCTATATTTTCCACTTCTTTTTCCGCGTACAATCACCCCATTTCCGCTTGTACCACCAGTTACCAACCACCCTGTATAAAATTAGTGAATATCGTTATAACAAGAGACGGTAAATATAAAATGACGTACACGACGACGTCCGAATTTTGAAGCTAGTTGGTCGATTCGATGATAGAAAAATTTACACGACAGAGAACATGCCGAATCGATTGGTCGTTCGAATTAATTCGACGAGATCGATATCGGCGGTTTGCGAGCCAAGATAGAAAATTAGATAACGAGTGACAGGAATAGGGCAATTATAATAATAAGGAAATCTTTTAGACGGTGATTCGTTGAATTTCACAGGGTCTTTGCAGCGTAACGATGCTACGAGAAAGCTCCAACAAGTGATTTTAATTCTAACGTGATTACTTTGGTAAATCCCCAACTAAACGGAGTTCGTCCTTTGTTCTTTAAAAGTTTTACTCGCTGGCTCATTTTAATACCAGATGAAATAATTTGAACTTTCCCGGGATTCGTGGATACTCGATTCTCGCGGATACTTGATATTATTGCAAATTTTGAGCGGATTCGTTTGATAATCCGATCGAAATAGAAAAGCGCGCGTACCTTGACGTGGAAGCTATAAAAAGCTCGAACACCAAGAAAATCTGAAATTTTTTCATTTCTGATCTGCTTTCTATCTTTGCCTTTTCGACGGGGAGAGCTGCAGCTGCGAATTTCTCAACGCGAGCAACAGACTCTTACGTATTTATTAAAAATTTCTCGATATTTTAATTAAAGGATTACATCTTCGATAGAACCGAGTTTAATCTCCGTATTTCTTCCGGAAATGTAAAAAGTGTGGAAAGTTTAACAAGCTCAGTTTCAAAGTTAAAGTAATTTGGATACAATTTTTCGGTTCAGAGCTCGATTCGCGAAGTAAACGCGTAATACGCTTGCCCACAAATTAGAATCCAAACGAGAAAGCCGAAGTTCCTTAACTTCGTGTTCGTAAAATTTTATGCCACTTGTCGTGTAGTAACAGAGTATGAAAGTTATCACGTACGATGCAACGATTATTACGTAAATTCCTAGCCAATCTTATATAAAATACTTTTTCGTACAGTTATTCATAGAAATCTTACATCTTGTAAAGATGTAATTTTTGTTTAAACGAAGCACATGCATATTCTGATGTCTAATAACATCCTTCGAGGATCACGTTCGCGATTTTTCCACTAGAAAAATGTCGCTCCCTTAAAAATTCGTACGAAAACAAATAAATCTACTTAAATCCATCGTACTGGGAACGTAACGCAAATGACAAATAGATTATCCGTACGAAAACGGTTCGAACGACTCGCAACAAGTCGAAGAATGATATGAATCGTTATCGCTACAACTTCATGCCACGACAAAGTGGAATCTACCAACGGTGCAAACGTCACCCGTAAACCAATACCAAATCCGACAATCCCTTCAGGCTGCCGTAATTCAAAATTCCATGTGACAGGACCGCAACGAAACTCGCCATCCAACAGCAAAACCAACCACTTCCGTTGAACGATCGTAAACAACGCCGCGAAAAATCTCTGAAAAAGACCGAATTCAAAGGACTTAACCTGCCTCTTCATGATTAATTTACCTCAGCATCTACCGTTCGTGTCGTCGATTATGCCAAGCCAGAACGTACCGATACAACAGACGAGCCAGAATTTCCCGATAACGTACCAACAACCGCAAACGGTCACCCAACAAATGCAAACCGCTCCTTCCGTTGCTTATCCAACCAATCCGCAAGGTATTTCGCTAGTATTGCAAGACTTATTAACAGTTCGTACCATCGTATGTACGTGTATGTATATATATAAACGTATGTATGTGTATATATATAGTGCGTGTATCGATTATCGACAGAGCTGGCATTTCACTGGTAAATATTGCTTCTCGGATCGAGGATCACGGTCGAACGGATTCGGTTTAATGAAACGCTTTGAGAACCTAATGAAGGTTTTTCGTTGCAATTCGGTGGTGGTGATTTCGTAGAATTTAACGCGTTGATCGTGGATACAGAGTTGATACGGTGGTCATTTAAGCTTTTCCAAGGGTTTTTTTTTTTTTGTTACGAGTTCATTAATTTCGTTTTTTATCATTTGGGAGAATTTTGGACGATGTTGGTTTGGTACATATTATAAATTTCCAATATGTACAACGATGTAGCCACTCAAGATAAGACGTTCATTTGGTTAGTTTCTTTTATCATGAAAGTTGGCAGATTTCCGATGATATTTCGATAAACGTTACAAATTTCTAATGCAACGGGTGTAGTCGTTTAAAAGGAGAGTTTTTTTTTAGGTAACCAGTCCATCGCGTACTTGTTTTCCTAATTCGTGAGGATTTCGGATACTTCGATTAATATGATACGTTTCGGATGTAGACCGGAGTGTGCGTGCGGTTGCGACGATTGTAGAAAACATGGAACGATATTTGGTAGAAAAGTAAATGGAAAATGTAAAATAAAAGAGAAGAACGGAGAAAAAGATTGCGCTACGTCGTAAAAATAACTAGACTCGCATTTCCAATCTCTTCCTGATTTCTATATTTTTCGTCAACTTTCCTCTATTATTCCTGTCGTTTTATTCAATTATTTTTTATTTCTTTCCCTGAGATTTCCAATATTTTCAAAGTAGGTACATCCTCTCTTACGGGTAGTTCTTATTGTTGGTCAAGCTTGACGATTTTTCAAAATCGAGTTCCTCGGAGAATTCAAATAGAAAAATTTCGTTTCGTGTGGTACGATGGTCACAAGTCATCAGGAAATACCTAGTCGCATTTCCTTTATACAAGAATTTCACATATTCTCCGTCAACTCCACGCACCAACTGCTTTTGCCTTTGATTTTAACGTGCTTTTGTCGTCCCCGTGCTCGTTTAAAAAATATCGTTAATATCATTTTGTATCAAATGAAACTAACACGGCTACTAGACAAACGAGTGTTACTCGTTTCCTGAAAAACTTTGTGAATTTATCGGCTACCGTCGAAAGCTTATATCGTCGAATTTATTTCCTTCTTCGACTATCTTGTATCAAAATACTCTTCTTTTTTTTTGCCACCGAGTGATCCGAAATTAAAAAAAAATAAGCAAAAATGTACTTGTCACATTTTTCGCCTGTGATCTTCGTATTAGGTTACGCTGCGAGCGTAAAAAAATGTTAGATTTTAAAAAAGTATGAATAACCTTTGGAAAAATGTTGCGCGCGCAAAATTTATGTTATATCGATCGAGTCCTAACGCATAAAGCTAAATTATTATTCGCATTATATTTTCGTTCTTCTATTTTGAATGACTAAATTACCTTCTATATATAACGCGAGTTGAAAATTGAATATACAGTAAAAATTGCACGCGAAATTTCACGTTAAATAAAAAACGAGTCGAGAGTTTATCGAGCATGGTGGATTTTACCTTAATAGAATTCTACCGCGAAAATTACGATACAGCTCATTTCAGAATCGATTGTTCCTAAAATAAAGTCCTATAAAGGAATTTCGTTTCGCAGTTCCGATCCACATTTTTATATCAAACACCTTTAGGATCGCAGCACGATTTTCAATCCACCG